CCCGCCTCGCCCCGCCCTGCGCTCACCAGGGCCTGCCACGTGGGGCCCGGCCGGCCGGGCGATGTGCGGGAGCTGCCGCTGGGCCGCCCGCTAGACTCGGACCAGCGCTGGGCTTGCGGGACGAGCCAGGGCCGTTCTGCGCCTCGTGGCCCCAGGCTGAACCCCCAGCTCGCCGAGATCCTAGCTCACAGCCTAGCTCGATCGGCTGCCTCTTCTAACCCTTCTGCGAATTCCAGGCTTCATGCACTGAAGGCCCACAGGCTCCTCCTTCCTCTGGAAACCTCCCACTACGACCTTAACCCCATTACGTGGGGAGCTCTCACAACCTGGCCTCCATCCCCTAGGAGTAAGACTGCTACTCACCTGATATGTATGTATATATTTTAACACTTCTGATTAATGAAAACGCTTCTCTCTTCCCTCCCCAACTCAAGTCTGAAATGTACCCTAAAAGGGGACGCACCCATAGACGATGTTTCTTCTGCATTTTTTCCACCAGCCAAAAGAACAAAAATTTCCTGTTCAAGTTCCAAATAAACCATATTACACTCATTTTTCGAACTAGATTTCACACCACTCCCCAAAAATGATCAGGCTCTAAAAGGGGCCATATCTCTTAACCCAAAGCTGGGAGAAATGTTAATTTTTGCGTGAGGAGTGCCCCAGGAGTCTCTTCCGATTTGGGATAGTCCCATTGAGATGGATATCAAACCTCGGAAATGCAAACTTCTTGAGAAAATAAGCCACCGGTTAAACTCCCGTTGTTCTACTCTGCTGGACATCATGATTACTTCCTCTTGACCCAAAGGAAGGGCTTTCTAGCAGAACGGTAGCCAGCTAGTACCCAAGTCCCTGTTCTAGCTCAGTGACTGGTGCCCAGCTGGCACGAAGTGTCTCTGTGAATTTGTACAGGGAAGGGGGACCACATCCCACTCTGCAAGTCCTGGGGAGACGAGCACCCATGATGGCAATGCCAATGATGAAAGGAGAGGCGACAGTCCCTGCAGCAGGCCGCAGGAAGAATCCGGGGCTCAAGGGCAGCTTGTTCTGAAGGACTGGGTAGAGGGAAAAAGAGAGAGCACTGACACAAAGCCAGAGCCGGCCAGACTGTTTATGCCACTCTTGAAGAGACTAGCTGGGCCCTGGGTTTTTCTAAAATTCAATTATCCTCAACCCTGCAATTACAGTGCTCCAGTTCGGTATGGGGTGGGGTGATAGTCCTCTCATTCCAAGTGATTTCGAAGTAGTGGTATTTGTTGCAGAATATCCCTCAGAGCCCCTTCATCTTTGTAATAACCCTTTATATTTGTCTTTCATGGTTAAACTCGGAGTATTTTTCAGACATTATGTCATCCATTGGGGACTCTTACTCCCATCTCCAGTGGGCTGTCAGAAAAAGCCCAGTTTCTACCACTCCTTCCTTCCCTTGAAGTTCTGGAAAAGGAATGAGAAACTCACTCAGAAATTAAGGAAAACAAGCATGCTTCTAACACATAGAGCTCTGAAAATTATGAAGTCTGTTAATACACATTACAAAGGGGTGTTAATCTCGTCATAAAACTGAGGTCAAAGCAATCCCATGGCTTCTCCAGGCAAGATGTCAATGCTGCACACAGGGAAAAAAGGCACCTGTCAGAAACAGCAGGGGAGGCCGGGCAAAACACCGCACCACAGGGCCTATCCCAGCATTCTCGCTTGTTTGCAACCAGACCAAGGGTAGAGCTGCCAAAGTCCACCAGAGCTGATAAGCTATCAGTATCCATTAGGGGAAGACAATTAATTATTAACACAGCTCAAAATCAAAAGGTCTTACCTCTCCACATCCGCCTACACACAAAATTCTTTAGATATACCTAAGTCCTACCTTGTCACTGAGTAGTACTGTCCTTCATGCCTCATACCAGGTATGGGGCCCCAATTCTGTCTCTACCTAATATGCCCTTTTTTCCTCTTATTATCCCATTTCCACTTGTCAAAATTCTAACTCTTCAAAGCCACTTCCCTTCAGAAAGCTTCTTGATTCTTCTGAAGCATATTTATCTACCCTTTCAAACTGACTTGTAACCCGCTTAAAAAATATTTTACACTGCAACTCCAGTAAAAATAACAATATAGCGAACAAAAATTTTACAAAATTTCCTTAGTATATGCAATGTACTGATATTTATATTCTATTTCAATTTTTTAAAAAGTAGTAATAAACCCACTAAATTGATTTCATGACCCATTATTGGGTTGCGATCCACAGAATTAAAACATTTTATATGGTTTATGGTACTTGAATTTGCCCCTTAAAATTATTTCATTTCTATCTCTAACCTCCTTGTTGGATCTTAATCTATCTTGATTATCAAAGATTTCTGTATATACCTCCACCCCCAAATATAACATTTGCACGTAACAGAGTCTCAATAAATATTTGTTGGATGAATGAATAGACTAGCTCACTAAAAGTCTGATGTTGGGCAATATTTAGGAAACTAAGCACAAAAATCTGGCATTTTCTTGACTATTTCCCTTCTGACAAGATACTACAGCTATCTGCCAAAAGATATGCAGACAGATTTCCTGTAACTGAAGTGAGTGGAAAAGCCGTGGGAAAGAAGCCAGAGAAATGAGACCCCAGCCCTGAGTGTGTAAAGGGTAGGACCGGGGACTCAGAAAACCACAGCCCCTCTATAGTTTGTGTTGACAAGGTAGGCAACTTGTTCAGCAGGGTGGGCCAAAGATCCCCTTTCCACTCCCCAGCTACTGGGCCAGCTTGAGAGAGGCTGAACAGAGAAACCAATGACCAGGTTTCTATGATACTTGCAAGGGAAAAATGAATTTTCCATGTTTTGGCATGGCTTAACGAATTTAAGAGGATCAGAGTTCTGGAACGTGAAGGTTCTAGTTTACCCAAAATCATGTCAGAGGACTAGCACCCCACACTGGGTCAGGCAAGAGTTAGAACACTTTTAGAAGTCTCAGTCATTTCTGTTATCATCTGATGGTTTCGGCAGACAAAAAAGACCACTGGGAAAAATAACAGTTGGTTCAGTAGCAAGTTATCTTTACGAATTTGTCCATTTCATCTAAGATACCTAATTTGTTGGCATATAATTGTTCATAGTGTTCCCCTATAATTCTTTTTATTTCTGTAAGGTCGGTAGTCCCCTCTTTCATTCCTGATTTTAGTAATTTGAGTCTTCTTTTCCCTTGGCCAATCTAACTAAAGGTTTGCCCATTTTGTTAATCTTTTCCAAGAACCAACTTTTGTTTTGTTGATTTTCTCGATTTCATTAATTTCTGCTATGATCTTTATTGGAAAAATCATTAATTTAAATGAATGTTTGGCTGGGAACAGAACTCCAAGTTGACACTGTATGTTTAAGTTATTATTCCTTTTGTCTTTTTTTTTTAATTTTTTTTTTTTATTTCTTTTTCCCCCGAAGCCCCAGTAGATAGTTGTATGTCATAGATGCACATCCTTCTAGTTGCTGTATGTGGGACGCGGCCTCAGCATGGCCGGAGAAGCGGTGCATAGGTGCGTGCCAGGGATCCGAACCCCGGGCCGCCAGCAGAGGAGTGCACGCACTTAACAGCTAAGCCACCGGGCCGGCCCTATTCCTTTTGTCTTAAGCATCTGTTGTGGTTGATGACATCTGCTGCTAGTCTGACTACCTTTCTTTGTAAGCAATCTCTTTCACCACTGGTTGTTTTTAAAAGTCTCTGTCTTTGGTGTTCTGTAGTTTCACTACAGTACATCTAGGAGTGGATGTGCTTTTCTTTATCCTCAATGAATTTCTTCAGGTAGAAGATTCATATTTGTCTCTAATTCTGGAAAATTCTGTTTTTATATCTTCCACATTGTGTCGCTCATTCTTTCTATTTTAACCTGCAGGAACTCCTATTAGACAGATGTTGAACCTTCTTCTCTCCTCTCTCTTCTCCTCCATAGTTCCCATTTATACTTCTCTGTGCTGCAATCCAATTGACTTTGCCTTTGTTTCTGCAGGGCTCAGGGCTCTCACCAGTCTGGGCCGATCTTCATGGTAATTTTTCAGCTTGTGGGCCTTCCACGTGCTTGTAATATAAATTCAGACTACACACACCTGTATGTGGCCCAGGCTTGGGGATTTCTTGTGAATGCCTTTTTATCCCTAAGTTTCCTTGCTGCTACCCCCCAGATGGTTGGCAGGACTTTTTACTCCCCTTCCAGGTTCCAGCTCTCTTCATCCAGGAGGCTTCTCTCTAGCAATCCTGCACCTTATAGGGTCTGAGGTCACTTCTTCTATCCTTACCTGGAGTGAAAAACCGAAGTGCTCTTGCCCCTGCATTCTGTGCATAACTCTGGGAGCTGTGCTGGCATCAACTATTACCTCTGGCTTCCCTTTCTTTCTTGTACCTTGATATTTTCCTTCCTCCCTCCCTCCTTCCCTCCCTTCCTTCCCTCGTTCCATTTCCCTCAAATTCAGCTACTTAACAAAAATTTTTTTTTCTATTTTGGCCAATATTTGTCAGTATGGTCAGCTCAGTCTGCCATGGTGCCAGAAGACTCCCTAGTTTACTCATTAAAAAAAATAGATTTTATTTTTTAGAGCCGTTTTAGGTTCACAGCAAAAGTGAGCAAAAGGTAGAGATTTCCCATATACACACAGCCTCCTCCACTATCAAAATCCCCCACCAGAATGGTACATGTGTTAGAACTGATGAACCCACATTGTCACATCATAATCACCCGAAGTCCATAGTTCACATGAGGGTTCATGCTTAGTGTTTCACATTCTATGAGTTTGGAAAAATATATAATGACATGTGTCCTCCATTACAATATCATACAAAATAGTTTCCTTGCCCTAAAAATCCTCTGTGCTCTGCCTATTC